CCCCCCCCCAGCACAGCTGTGAGAAAGGCCAGGCACCACCAGGTCTGCTCCTGATGTTCTTGGGACCATCCCCAGGAATCGGTGGGGGCAACCACAGTGACCTCTGAGAAGGACTCCCTCTGCGTGCCACTTATTCAGAACAGAAACTTGAGTAAGAAGGAAACACTTTATTAGCAAAACGAAACCTAGAATGACTCAGGCCCTGGCTGGAGCCCCTCATAGCTCTGCTCACCTGGGCAGGCCCCCGAGGTCGATCTCGCTGCAGATGTAGGGCCCAGGACGCAGAATCACCCACAGCCCGATCTCTGCAGCCATCAGGACAAAGGCCCTAGGAAGGTCCATGTCAGCAGCCCTCAGGACTCGGGAGAGGAGGGCGGGAAACAGCCCAGCACATGGCAGGGGGGAGCTCAGCCAGGGAGGGGCACTGAGGGAAGGCCACCCCCTTCCCCAACAGGGCGCCTCCCTTCACAGGCCCCTGGGGGCTGGGTTCTCACGAGCTCCCAGCCGAGGACCAACAGTGCAGCACCCCCAGAGCTCCCAGCCCAGGACCAACAGTGCAGCCCCTGGGGGTGCGGGAGGAAGGGTATCGGAAGGGGTCAGGCGTCCTAGCAGTGAACCTCACCCTGGCAACCTGCTTGCTACCCAAGAGGACCTGCCCTGCTCTGGCCCAGGTGGTTGGACCCCCCTGCTCAGCAGGGCCCACCCTGGGGATGGGGCACCCCTGGCTGCATGGGAGAGGTGTGGGCTCAGAGGCAGCAGCCCCCAGCCTGGCGCAGCAGGACCCCAGCTGCGGAGCGTGTGGGGCCTGGGTGCAGAGCCTTCCAGGGCATCCCGAGGACACACTGGCACCCCCGCTCCCCTGGCCCCAGCGCAGGGCCTGGGTGCGCCATGATTCCTGCCCCAGCCCAGGAGCCGCGGCCCTTCTCCCGGCCCCAGGTGAGTGGCAGAAGCAGCACAGCACGTACTCCAGGTCCAGGTTCCCAGAGAAGTCAAATTTTCCTCTTTCTGGCTCGTGGAGGTTCCAGGGGACATAGCTGGGATAGAAAAGATAATTAAAAGTTTGAGTTTTCATTTATATTACTCTATCCCCCAGATCACCTTCTTTATCCCTAAAACCCATTATGATGGCTGTGGACATGTTTCTTAGGTACACTGCCTTACTGACATTAGAATTGCAACCAAGAACTAACTGAAGGGATCCAGGGGCCTCAGAATCCCGTAAGACCCTGGAGGGCTCTACCAGTCTCTGCAGATGAATCCAGAGGAGCCCCGCAGGACCTAAGTGAGACATAAGACAAGACCACGGGTCAGCAAGACATCGCTCTCCCCTCCCCCATCTCTCCCCCTCTCTCTTCCACGTGAGAAAAAGCAGAAACCTTATAGAAACATCAGTTGAAGGTAAAGAGGAAACCTCAATTATCAGTCACTTTTACTGAAGTGACTGGATTGCAAAGCTTGTAACAGAAGAGAGGTTGTAATTTAAAGGTAAGAAACTGAAGGACTGTAAGGGGCCTGACCCAAGAGGCAGGTGCATGCATTGATGTAAAGTAATACTAATGATAGGTGCTCCTTCCTAGGCCTCACTCTCCCTGGGCCTCTCTAATTGCAAAGGAGACACTCAAAGGGAGAGAAGGCTTCTTTGCTTTGGATTCAGAATCAAGGGCTCCACATTTAAGCAAATGTAGATTATCCTGCTTTTATAATGCAATATCCCCACCAGCTCCAGGACTTTCATATGTGAAGGAACCCCTGGGATCAGAATTTACCTATGCAAATAAATAGATCCTTTTCAGTAACCTTCTATGGAAAAGTTTCACATCAGTTTCAACTATGCTGTCTTAGCTCAGAACACTCCCATAATTCTTATTAGAAAATGTTCTTCAGTCAGTTCATAAACCACCCAGAAAATCCGCAAACTTGATTTGTAATCACATATTTTTTCCTGAAGGTAAAATGGGCCAGCCTGAGGACCTAGACTCATATCCAAATATCTGTTGGCAATCTAAAAAAATAAATCCATAAAGGGCAAGGTTTTTTGCAGCTGAGCATAATTTTTAAGTAGTTCACCTATACAATATATATTGGGGTACTGATAACAGTGCTGCGCCTTGAGTGAAAGCCACAGCATTCAGAAGATCACTCCAAATGATGCCAGCATCTACCTCCTTGGGTGACTATTCTGAAGACTACATACGTAAACTCTATAAACTGGCTGTATGTATATACTCTATGATTATTGATCTATTTTCTTTAAACTTAAACTCTTGCTTCAAACTGAGCTTCCTGCCCCTGTGATGCCTGAAGGAGCTCCAGGTATTGGTGCCATTAGAAATTAACCAAGCTCAGCAGGCCAGGATGTACCCAAGATCAAGATAATAACAAACTCTGGGGCTGAGTGTGCCAATACCAGACACAGCAATTATGACAGGCTGTTCCAATAAACTAATTATGACTGTGTTCAACTCACTATAAAACAGTCAGCTAGAGCGGAAATGTTAGGATGTTTCTCTTCAGGGTGATGTGCCTACACGCTCAGACCACTGGCCAGCTCTCTAAATAAACACACTTCTTATAGATTCAATTCCTGTCTCTGCTCATTGGCATCAGTATTGACAGGCAGCAGTACCCAGCATTTCTGGCAACAATAGAAAAATTTAATTATCTGTGGTAATCATCACCTACATCCCCCCATGCCCCTTCACGATACACCTGTTCTTTCTGTTCTTCTAGACCTTCATGTCCATTTCATGTCTCTTCTCCTGCACTGACCAGGAGGGTTGTGGGGATTAGGAGGAAGGTAGACTCTTCTACCCATCAGTCCTAAGCAGAGGGGTTGGGCTCCTTGTTTCTATGTTTTTCCTCATAAGCTATATACATGCAGATTCTTTTCAGGGGCTACTCAGGTCCAGGATCTGCCAGCCTTCTCCATCCTGACAGGGTGGAGTTCCCCAAGGCTGGGTTCCCTTGAAGAAGCCCAGGAGGCAGATAGAGAGGTCCTACTGGTAATGGCGTTAGGGTCAGCACTCACGTGGTGAGGGTATTCAAGCCACAGGCTCTCATCTTCAGCAAGCGGTCCCTCCAGTATTCCTTGGGCACCCGGAAATAGTGCACAGAGCCCCCAAAGATCCAGAAGGCAGATTCTTCCAACATAAAGTTTTGGCCATTGGCCTGAAGCCCTGTGTGTCGGTGTGTCAGCCACAGTGGAATCAGAACATTCCAGTCCAACCTGCAAAAAGAAGCATCTGGAAGCTAGGAGGCTAATCTTCAGCAGGAGCACAGGGAAGAAGAGAGGGTTCCTTTCCTCCTTAGCAGATTCTCAGCATTTCTTTATAAAGAGTGTCTGCTTCAGGGAGATGAGGCGGTAGGGAGTAGTCGCGCTCCTGTCTTGCCAAACTTGGAATAATATCTTTGTTGCACACACCTAGCTCCTCGGGGCCCCATTGCTGCGGAAGAGCAACCGAGGCTGACTCAGGACCAAGGTAGATATGCTCAATGTGGACACTGTCCCCAGGAGGGAGGACAAAAGGCACTTTGGGGAAAGGGGCTCTCGAGGGGCTTTGCTACTGGGAACTTAGGGATCTGGGGGGCAGGTGCAGCACACACGTCCCTACAATGGACAGTTCTGTGGGCCATTTGCCTAAGCATCAAAGCGGCAACTACTTGGAATGTAGCTGTGAGCCACTTCGTGGCCACAGTTGCCCAGCCCAAGGTGCAGACACCTAGAAGTGGTATCTGGGTTAGAAACAGCCTCTAGTCAAATCATCTGAAGACCCAGTGTCAGCCAAGGAGAGCTCAGACCCACAGAGCCCTCAGGGGAGGCTGCAAGAACATCTCAATTCCTAAAAAAGCACCTCTTGGCATCTCCTTTTTGGCCCAGGGAGCCCCTTCAAACAGACCCTCATGACTCAGTGCTCCCTCTTTTTCTTCAGTCTCCTGAGGGTCTCAGGGAAGACTAGGGAGCAGGAAAGAGAAATTGAGAAGCAGGATAATTTCTAGACAGGAAATCTAGGAAAATGGAAGACAGAAAACAAGACAAATTCTGGCAGGCCTTTCCAGCCACTCGGTAACCCTGCCTGACACTGTACCACCGAGATGCTCTCTGCTTAAGTAATGCATCCATCCACACTGACACACGGACTGGAGTCTGTCATCCCGGATGCCAAACAGACAGACACAACACCACCCAAAGTGGGCCAGGAGCAGCCACCTTGATCCTGGATTCCAGTTCTCTGTGTCTTTTTTTTTTTTTCCTCTGTGTCTTTCAATGGGGCAGAAAGTCAGCCAGCAGCACGTCACAGGTCACAGGGCACACAGATGAGGCACACCCCAGAGCTGAGGCTCCCACCGTGTCCCAGGCTGTCTGGCCCCTGCTGCTCTCCCTTATCACACCCACCAACAGTGTCCTCTGGCGGGGCTTTCCCGGGTGCCTGCCAGTTCCTGCTGCACCCACAATGCTGAGGGCTCCCTCTGGGAACAGAAACATGTACACCCCATGGAGCAAAGCTGCCTGACCCCTGCTGTCAGCGGGCCAGGTATTTTGACAGCATCTAGAGAAAACCCACTGCAGCTCACTTCTATTGTTCAGGAAGGCTCACTCCCACCTAACCCAGCCTCTCCAAACCAGCATTTGATGTCCCCGGAGGGATTCTGGCATACAGCCTCCTCCACTCCGCTCCACACTCACACCATCCAGGGTCCCCCATGCTGCAGGAAGGATCAGGCTGCTGCCAGGGCACATGACCCATGCGGTCACTGGGGGACACTCTCAAAGGCCCACACTTGGTTTCAGAAAACCTTCTATCTCCATGCCAAATTTTTATTAATTTTTAAGCAAGGGTCTCACGTTTTTATTGTGTACTGTCCCACCAACTAGGCGGGCAGGCCAAGTGGTGACAGAACAGGAGCAGGAAGACATAATAATTGTTGAATGTACAAATGATCTAAGTCATTCAGGTGGGGCCAGAAAAGCTGTTACCCAGAAGATGTCATTGCACTGAGTCCTGAAGATGGGGGTGTAGGAGAGCAGGTGACCCTTGGCACAAGCATAAAGAAAGGAAAGCATGTAAAGGCAACAGGTTGGGGGGCCTGGTGATGTCCACCAGTCCTTGCAGAGATGAGTGCAGAAACTGAGATCTTTCTAGAACAGTGAGAATAATTTGCTTCTTGTAAATATGTGGGATATGTGTTTTGCACGCTTTCTCATCATTTTATTTTTCCAGTAATTTATTTTTGTCGTGCTTTATAAAGTGACAGTGTAGAGCAGATGAAAAAAAAAAAAAAAACACTTTCTCAGGGTTTCTCAGGCTGCTTCTGGCCAAGGTTTTCTAGCACAGGTGGCCTAGTAAATAACATGTAGCCTTTGGATAGGGTCCATATGTGCAGAGAACAGTAAATAACATGTGGCCATGATGTATAGTTCAGATGTGCAAATTCCTAACTCTGTAAACTAGGGATAAATCTAGCCCTGTGCTGGCTTTGTCTATAAATTATATAAAGGCTAATAGGGCTGCTTGGGGGTAGCACCCACTGATGGACGAGAGCCCACTGTTGCAGCCAGTGTGGGGGGGTGGGGAGGATGTTGTCATGCTGGACACTTCCCCTGTTGCTCCTGCTGCTGCCAGGGGTGAGGAGTCTGTGGAGCCCAAGGGGAGCAAGAGAGTCCAAGAGGGCCTGAGGGAGCCATGGGGCCTGCTGCCAACAGGGCTGGGATGGGTCACCATCACCCAAGCCACTGGGCCTCGCTCCCACCAGACCAGCAGGATGACTGCTACCTGGGTAATCTCCTGTTGCTGTAATAAAGCCCCATATAGGGGCTTTGTGACCTGTTTCTCATCTGCTGCCATCAAGAACTGGACAAGCTTATATCTAAGGCTCTACAGACAGATTGAAAATTTAAAACTGTTTTAAGGAAAGAAAAGTGACTCTTTCCCACATACAGAATGAGAAGCTCTGCTCTAGACCAGAAGCAGTGTTCTGGCTGTGGGCAATCGTAATGCAAGAGATGTGAGCACAACATATTGAGTGTTCAATGGGCCCACCTCAGCAACCAGATGGAAGCAGGAGAGGGAGGAGATCAGAACACTGAAATTGTCCCCTCAAGCAGCCTTCTCAACACTTCCTGGGAGTCAGATACCTCAGAAGGTCTGGGTTTAGCCACATGGTTCAAAAACCACATGATTCTCAAAGCTAGTACGTATTTGAACCACCTGGGACAACTTTAAAACTACCGATGTCCGGGGCCCTCCCTGGTGGCGCAGCGGGTTAAAGCACAGCACAAAGAAGCTTAAGCCACTTCCGCATGAGTTTGATACCCGCCTGCCCGGAAGGTGACCACATAGCATGGCAGACCTCCTGACCCGCCCGCTGCTCCCCTCAGCAGTGTACTTCGTCGATCTGCCTGTTCTGTACCCCACTCTGTCTCTGGTAAATCCTCTCACCCTCTGCATCTCTGGCCTGTACCCCAGTTCTGTACGAATAAATAAAATAAATAAAATAAAAAACAAACGAACAAAAAAAAAAAACTACCGATGTCCCAGCCCTGCCCCAACAGATGGAGGCTCTCCACAGGTGGGGCACAGGCACTGGTATCTTTTTAACCACCGTTTATAGATCCTCACAGGCCAGACTGGCAACCTCTGCCCTAGGAAGAGTTTCTGAGGTAGGCCCAGGGCCAGTGTGAGGGCCCTGCAGGTTCAGACACAGAACAGGATGCCAGGAGGACAGGTATTGTCATAAGCAATGTGGGTCCCTTGGAAATTTTGCCTAATTATATAAATGTAATTATTTATATAATTTACAAATTATATAAATTTTGCCACTCATGGTCAAAGAATATTAATTTTACCAGCTCTTCCCTACTTCTCACAGCCCGTAGAAGAGGCTGTGAGTACGGCAGAGGCAGGACTCCAGTTCTGCTACCTGACAACTGCAAGTGTCATTGCAGATGACCCAGGACCTGACGGATGCTTCACTGCACCAGAGTGAGAAGTTCCCTGTTCTAGGTGACTTATAAATGGCATTTCAACACACAAATCTGCCAGAGGAGCACCTCTGTGGGGGAGTAAAGACAAAATCAGAATCTGCAGCAGGATAGTCTTGTGGTGAATCCTGGCTCTGCCCTTAGCTGTCACCTTGGCTTGGTGAACTAACGCTGAATGGCATCAGCGAAAAGAGCTAGTTTTCTGCACACCAGCTGCCGTTAGGGTCAGGTATAAATGAAATACCCTATGATGTGCTGGAAAAGAATCTTGTTACTATTGGAGATAAATTTTTTAGCATGCTTTCCGCATCAGAGAGAATTGCCTCAGTGGGTATTTTATATCCCTAATGGGGAATAATCCCAACCTTTCCATTTCTTCCCATTTAACTGAGCATCTAATTATATTTTATGTACTAGACTTTGTGCCAAACCTTCTTATCCCAGTTGCTAAAATTTTACAATAAAACATCTGTCCCCGGGCTCAGCTCAGGCCGATGCAGCCTGAGGTCTGCACCAGGGGTCCGCACCCTCCTGCTGCAGTCTTGTTTGTGCAGGCGCCAGCTAAAAATGGCTTTGCTGGTTGAAAAAAAAAGGTTTAAATAAAATTTGGGGACACAAAATTATATGAACTTCATTATTTCAAAATCCATAGGTAGTTTTGTTGGTATTTCCCACACACACACACACACAACACACAAATTCACTCATATATTTATTGTCTATGATTGCTTTGGGGATACAATGTAGTGCAATAGAGACAATATGGTCCCCAAAGTTGAAATTACGCACTATTGGGTCCCTTCTAGGAAAACCCTGCCCTAGAGCATGAGGCCCTGGTTATGGAAAGGAGATACAGGCGCTCCTGGGCTTTGACAGGGCCTCCTCTTAGACCTTTCCCTGCTCACTCTACCAGTTTCCAACTTGCTGGCTGGCTGAAGTTCCCCTACCTCAAACACAGCAGTTTGGTTTCCCCTGGGTTGGGGCCATTTTGTTCCAAAGAACCACATCTTCTCCTGCCCTCAAGTTCAATCCCTGCTTCCTATGCCCCCCACGTTCGCCTGACTACCCCTGGGGACTCCCCTTGGGCACCCCACCCCCTCAAGTCCAGTTCCAGCTTCCTATGCCCCCCAGGTTCACTTGACTACCCCTGGGGGCTCTCCTTGGGCACCCCACCCTCTGGGGTCACCTCAAGCTAACATGAAGAACTGGATGCATAGAGTCTTTTCTTCAAGAAAGATACACTGACT